GCGGAGGCGCACCAGAAGGAGGCGGTCTGGGCGTGCGGCATTCTCAGCCTCGTCTCGCGGGCGCGAGACAGGCCTGCGCCAGGGTGGGGCCAATGATTCTCCCCCTCACTCTCCCCATTCTTCGTGTGCGCGTGCTAGCTTAAGCATTGCGCAGCTCATTGAGCTAGCCGTTCTGCTATGATTGCTACCGCTTGGGTTTGTCATACCTGCTGGGACGCCCCTTACTGTTTGCATCAAGGTTTCCCTCGTGTACTCTGGGCCAAAGCATCACATGCCACGGCCATCGTCGTTGCAGCGGAGCTAGTGTCGATATGGCATTCGTACGCCCAGTCTCAGCGTAGTTGATCGTGTTGGGTCGTGAGTGCGCTGGGCTTCCCAGATGTCGATTTTTGTGATCGATCGGCCCATTGCAGGCGGTCTTCCCCAGAGTGGTCCAACAAGAGCCGGAGCGGGACGAGGCCTTGCTGGAAACTCACCGCATCAAGAGGAGGAGGGGGGGAGGAGGAGGAGGAAGAGGAGGAGAGGAGGAGAGAGAGGAGGGAGGAGGAGGAGAAGGAGGAGGAGGAGGAGGATGAGAGGAGGAGGATAGGAGAGGAGGAGGAGGAGGAGAGGGGGGGGGGGGCGGAAGGGGAGGAGGAGGAGGAGAAAGGAGGAGGAGGAAGGAGAGGAGAGGAGGAGGAGAGGAGAGGTAGGAGGGGGGAGGGAGGAGGAGGAGGGGGAGAGGAGGAGGGGAGAGGAGGAGACGGGAGGAGGATGAGGAGGGAGGAGGAGGAGGAGGAGGGGGAGGGAGGGGAGGAGAGGAGGGTGAGGAGTGAGGAGGAGGAGGAGGCGGAGGAGGAGGAGGAGGAAGAGGAGGAGGAGTGCCCTCTGCCCCAGGATGGGGCACCGGGAGGGCTCCAGTGGGGGGTCCCGGGGCGGGCCCAGGGGCCGCGGACTGGAACAGTTATACAGGAAGATATATGGGGTCTCGGCCCTGCCGAAACGGCGCTCTCCTCCGCTCCCTCCCCTTGCAGCGCGGGCGTTTTCGGCCCTTCAAGATAGGCCCCAAAATCTAAACAAATGCCCCCCGACAAAAAAATATCGGAAGTGATTACACATTCGGTGTGGATTCATTGATTTTTGGGGCCGCTTTTCCGGACGTATCAAGCGGGAGCCCCGTTTCTGCTTTGAGAAAGCGATGTTGGAAGCAGAGCCGCCAGCGGGTGCTCTCCATCAGCCCCGCCTTGTGCGGAGCTTTTCGGGGAGTCCAATGAGCTAGACATGCAGCCACGACTCCAGACCAGCCCAGACCTCTCGAAGACGATCCACTTACCCTCCAAGGAACCCAGCGCCATGCCTTGATATGCTGTGAGGTGTTGCGTTCGAGGGGTCCGATCCGCCAGCTCCGAGGGGTCCGATCCACTCCGAGGGGCTTGTTCCGCTCCGAGGGGTCCGATCCGCCGGCTCGCTTCGATCACCACCCTCCGAGGGGAGCGAGCCGAGTTAGCAGCCGCTGGCTTCCCAGAGGCCATGGCCTCCCCCACCTGGTCTCAACTGGGCCCGGGCGGCTGTCCGCAGAGGTGGTTCGGTCGTGGGCGCTCGGGGGGCCCACCGGTCGCCACGGCCGGACGCAGCTCGGGAAGCCGGTGCGCTTGCACCCGGGGGGGGAGGGGTCTCCAGGGGCCGATTTGGGGCTGCCGTTGTTTCGGCTGGCTCTCTCCTCCGAAGTGGGCACAGCTCGTCCAATGAGAAGCTGGGCGGGCCTGCAGGTGCCCCAGGGGTCTCTTCTCCTCCTCCCGACAGTCCCTGGGACCCACCCTGACCTGCCAGAGAGCTATTTTTTAGCACGGGGAGCCTGAAAACCTAAAAGACTGGGCGAAACAGCTTAAAACCAAGACGTAGAATAGTAGCTTTGGGATCGGTTTTTAGGTCGGGTGCTATTTTTTAGCCCTCCTGGAAGCGCGTGAGCGCCCTCGGAAGCTCACAGGCCGACGTCGAACGTGCCCCCAGACCTCTCACGGTCGGCTTCCTCCTCGCGCGTGTGCCTGCTCTGCTCGAGGGGCTCGACGCCGACCCTCACCGCTTCTGCCCCTGCTGCCGCCCCTTCCCCCCGCCCCCCACCGAGCGTGCAGTCAGAACGTTGACGCGAGGACCGCCTTGGGCTCGGGAGGGGCTCGGCCGCCAGAGGCCGCTCCTTATAGGTCGAGGCGGGGGACCCCACTCGTGGCCGAGAGGCCCCCCGCCGCGCAGAACAGCCCCTCGTGTAAATCGAGGCGGGGGACCCCGCTCGTGGCCGAGAGGCCCCCCGCCGCGCAGGACAGCCCCTGCGCTCCCCTTTCGGCGCCTCCCATCTGGCAGCACGACGGAGGGTCCGCGAGGGGCCCCTCGGCCGAGTGCGGCGCCTCTCCGGCGCCACCCCTGGCGCGCGCCGCGCGCGAGGGCTGGGGGGGCCCGTAGCCCACCCGGGAAGCCCGCCCAGACCTCTGCTCCTCCTCCTCCTCCTCCTCCTCCTCTTCCTCCTCCTCCTCCTCCTCCTCCTCCTCCTCCTCCTCCTCCTCCTCCTCCTTCGGGAAGGATCGCTCCAGAGCCCTCGGTAGAGCGCTCTCCTGGCGCCTCCCGGGACGCCCCAGGGGAGCGGCCGCGGCGCGCTCGCTGCAGCCTCCGCGGAGCTGCCGGAGATCTGGGAGAGATCCCAGGTGTTCCGCGATGCGACTCCCCTGTCCAGCTCTGAGCGTCGTGCTGCCTTTCCCTGCCCTGGTTTGCCCTCCTGCTCCTCGGCGCTCTTATCCCTGCTGGGTGGCCCCGAGGGCCCGCGCAGAAGCCCCTGGGGCGCCTCGGGGGGTGCAGAGCTCGATGGCCAACGTGCCCCCGGATTCCGTCAGCAAGGTGTCTCGTCGAATGCGTTCACTGCATGTTCATTCGATGCCTTGTTATTCCCAGCCATCCCGTGTTGTTGGGTCCTCGTTTTGAAGAGCCGGCGCCCCGCGTTCTCTTCCGGCCGCTGCCCCCCTCCCTCCTCCCCTCCCTGCCTCTGCCCCCCGCAGCAGCCCACAACTCCGGCACACCCCTCGCACGCCTCGTGGCCCCTATAGGGAGCCCCACCGAAGGCCCCGGTGCCCGTGTTTGTTTCCTGCCTATTCGCGCGATACGTTTTTTTTTTTGTCCTGCGGGCCCCCCAGGCGTCACGACCCGTTCCCCAGGGCCGGCCTCTCGCTCACTGGGCCGCTCTGCTCACGGTCGCAGGGCCCGGCGAGGGCCCCCCACGGGGCCGAACACAGATGATAAAAAGCTGAGAGAGATCCTTTTGTCCAAGCGAGGAAAAAAAAAACACCTGGGCCGCACAACTGGCGTTTACCAAGCGGCCCTGGGCGTTTCCTAACCGGCCCTGGGCGTTTCCTAACCAGCCCTTGGCGTCTACTGAACGACTTCGCTTGTCGGGGTGGTTATTATGGGGAAGGATTGTCTCGACTTCTGCATGTGTCTCTCGATCCGATCTTGTTCCGCGTCGGGTCGGCACCGCCCGGGCACACTTCCACTGTGCGCGTCGGTCCTGCAAGGGTGACGCGCACGCGCAGAAATCTCACAGTCTACGCCCCGTGGTGTGCGCTTTCTGGCCGCAACGCCCGGGGTAAACGATTTGCGATCATAGTATTGTGCTGCATGTTCGTGTCAGACTTGTGCCTCCAACATCAGTGCACCCATCGAAAATCTTCAAAAACCAATCGCATGTCTCATTGACTCCAGATTTCGCCCAAGGAAATATAGAATTTTGACTGGACTCGGGGCGTTTTCTTGAAGCTTTCCGTGTCTGTCGGTTCTTCGTATATCTGGGCTTGGAGTACTGCCTGAAAAGCGCCTGGAGTGAAGTCCGTTCTCTTAGCGCGAAATGTCCTTGATTCTAATCGGCGGCGGGCGAGGAGGGGGGCAGAAGGAGAAGGAGAAGGCCTTCTCAGAAGGCGGCGGAGCTTCTCAGAAGGCCTCTGGCCCTCTGAGCGGTTTTCTCGTGTGTCTCCGGCGAAGGCCTGGCAAGCTTCTCGGGAGGCCGTGGGACTTCCAAGCCTTCCGAGAATCGGGCCGGACGAGAGAGGGGGGGACAGGGAAAGGGGTGTGTGTGTGTGTGTGTGTGTGCGAAATCTGCTGCATGCAGCTGGTTTCGGCCCCGCCGCCAGGGCCAGTCCTCGATACATGGCCGCCTCCTGGCGCCGGGAGGCACCGGGAAAATCAGCTACGTGAGCTGATTCTCAACCCTCCCCTTTGCTATCCCCCCCTTTCGCCCGACCCGAGAGAAGGACCGCCCCTGCTCGTTTCCTCCCCTTGGTCGCCGCCGATCGAAGCAGGGGTACAGCATGTCCTGCCGCGTCCCACTCGTGCCGCTCCAGAGGTCCGAGGTCCTGATTTTTTTCCCATGCGAGGTCCCCGGAAGTCTCGACCCGTTCCCCGGGACCGGCTCTTCCTCCCGCGCCGTCTTCTGACGGCCCCCGGGGCCCCGCGAGGGACGCCATAGGAGGCCGAGAGGCTAGAGAAACCTCCGCCCTGACTCCTTCAGGGCCTCCTCCTCGCTCCTCCTCCTCCTTCTCCTTCTCCTCCTCCTCCTCCTCCTCCTCCTCGTTCTCCTCCTCCTCCTTCGCCCCCGGGGGGGGGAGGAGGAGGAGAACGAGGAGGAGGAGGAGGAGGAGGAGGAGGAGGAGGAGGAGGAGGAGGAGGAGAAGGAAGAAGGAGGCTCTCCTCGCTCCTCTGCCCCAGGCTGGAGGCCCTGGAGGCGGCGTCGGACCCCGCCGCAGTGGCCGCGGAGGTGGCCGCGCGGCAGGCCGGCTGCGCCCCCCCGCGCGCCCCGCCCGGGGCCCGGCGGCGCGCGGCGCCGCCGGGGCCCCGCTGCGACCAGCTCCTTCCTCCTCCTCCTCCTCCTCCTTCCTCCTCCTCCTCCTCCTCCTCCTCCTCCTCCTCCTCCTCCTCCTCCTCCTCCTCCTCCTCCTCCTCCTCCTCCTCCTCCTCCTCCTCCCTCTCCTCCTCCCTCTCCTCCTCCCTCCTCCTCCTCCTCCTCCTCCTTCCTCCTCCTCCTCCTCCTCCTCCTCCTCCTCCTCCTCCTCCTCCTCCCCCTCCCCCTCCTCCGGGGCAGCGGCAGGGGGAGGGGCACAGCAGTGGCACCTCGAAGGAGGAAGAGGCACCCCTATCTATATACCTCTACCCTCCGCCCGTTTTTTTCCCCCCTCCTGGGCCTCCTCGGAGGCCCTTGTCGCCACCGCTGGATTCGCCCCGAAATCCTGGTCAGAACGCGCCCCGGGAGAGGTCCGGGGAGTAGCGGTATCGGTGCCTTTTTGTCTCCCCAGCAACGCTTTACATCAGGCGCCTCCCACTTCCCCCACCTCATTCTTAGTGACCGGTGGCTCTCTGCCTTCTTCTCACCTTTTCCCTAATGAGCCCCCCTCCCACCCTGGTTTTTGCCGGGTGGGAGGGGCTGGACAGGCTTGCATGGCGACAAACATTCGGCCGCCATTACGATAGGCAGGTTCGAGAATCCAGAAAGGACCCCAGGATCCCCATGCCAGCTGACTGTGCCTCCTTCGGGTGTCTTGGGCCCTACGGATCCCTGGAGGGGCCCGGGACTCCCGCCCGTTCCTGCTGACCGCGCTTCCCTCGGTACTATTGGGCCCCAGGGGGGGGGGGAGGGCGCCCCCCAGGTCCGAGGTTTTCGGACGGTTTCGGCGGCTCCCGGCAGTTTTCTTGCCTCGGGATGCTCCCCCGCGGCTGTGCCTCGCCGAAAGCGTTCTGGGGGTGCCAGGATCGTCCAGAACGGCCGCCAGGGACCCGAGTTATGACCCAAGAACTAGCATTAAGAGGGGGATGGGCATCAGGGGGGATGCATCGACTCCCAATCGCCCACTGATTGCCGACTGGGGTATGATATAGCCCCACCCCGCCCAGGAACGTGCGGACTCGCCATCGGGGGCCTATCGCCGGTCTATCGGCGATGTGTCGCCGATTCCAGGTCGATGTTTCCCCCCTATGTCAGTTCCCCCCTATCGTTGCCCCTCACCGCTGTTGGGTCGGGCATTGACAGAACGCCCTCCCCACCAGACAGGTCGACTGCGGAAATCTGCACGGGTTCAACTCGACATTGGCACACGAGTGTGCCTGTGCAGTCCCCGCTCGGTTTCGCGAACCGACGTGCGTTTCGCCGGATCCAGCCGGTTGCTCATGGACGTCCATGAGTGACCCCGCCCTGGTGCACTCGGAATGCAGTGGAGAGGGGCACCCGTGGAGTTCCCCAGCAGCTCTTGCGAAAGGGGGGTTCTGCGAGAAGAGGTTCTGCCACTCCTCGAGTTGGGGGGGCGCGACGGCTCGCCCATGGCAGGTGGGCTGGGGCGCCGCTTTTGTTTTTCGGGGATCTTGTCCCCCGAATGCTGGCCCCCTCTCGCGGCAGAGAGCTTGGCACGGCACGTTTCGTTGCCAATGGGTCGTCGCCGTAAAAGAAAAATAAGAAGAGGTCCTGTCAATCCTCGTGTTGGGGGGAGATGCGGTGGCCACGGCCGGGTCTGGCTCGACAGCCTGGGCGGACCGCCCCCCCCCCGGGGGAGGTCCAAGGCTACAGATCTTCCGGGGCGGGGGGCAGCGGCTCGAGGTGCGAGGTGCGAGGCCTGCGGACGTCGTTCGTCCTCGTGCGGCGGCTTTCCCGGCCTCGGCCCGGACGAGACCGTCAGGGTCGGCTCTGGGCTTCGGGCCGTTCCTCAGAGCCGGGTCGGGAGATCTGCAGCCGGGGACTCTGGCTTGGCGTGTCCCGCCAGGCAGTCAAGCTGGCGGAGGCCCAGCCACGACGACAGGGGGCGCCTGCTCGATTTTTCCGTGCGATCTCCTCCGAGAGCCCCTGGTAAGGAAGGCCCCCGGACTCAGGCACGGCGCTCTCGCTCGAGACTTTCTTGTGATTCAGTCAAGTCGGTGGAGGTCCAACTACGACGACGAGGGCTCTCGTTCGCTACTTCCTCGATATGTATTCGCAGAGGCTCTTGCCAGAGAGGCCCCCGAACTCAGGAGCGGCGCCCTCGGTCGAGATTTGTTTTCGAACTTCAGACAAGTTGGTGGAGGCCCAGACACGGCCGCAAGGGGTCCCGTTCGATTTGTTTTCAATATGTCTTCCGAGAGCCCCTGGCCTGGCCAGAGAGGCTCCCGAACTCAAGAGCGGCGCTCTCGCTCGAGAGTCCTTCGCATTGCAGGCAGTGGCCGACAAGGAAGACATTCCCCCCTGAAAGTGGGTGCGATCGAAAAAGAACTGGGCGGGTATCGAGGGTTGGGGTATACAGAATGCAAAACATGGGTGCCAGTAAGAGCGAAGAGTCTTGAAATGAGTGTTGTTGTTGTTGTTGTTGTTGGTGGTGCTGGTGCTGGTGCTGGTGGTGGTGGTGGTGGTGTTGCTGCTGCTGCTGCTGTTGTTGTTGTTGTTGTTGTTGTTGCTGCTGTTACTATTGGCCTCTCACTTCTGAATCGATTGTTGATCCCCCCTCCAGGGCACGTTGTGTTTGTCAACTGAAGTGCCCTTCCTGGGGGTCGCACCCTGTTTCTTTGTAGGGAATATCTTGAGTCTCAGAATTATGTTGTTGGCCCTTGCTTACAACAACAATAACAACTGGATACGTCCTTACAACTTATACCCAAATCGTGCTCTCGCGCGGGCGTTCCTCACAATGTATGCAGGAATCTCGGTCGCGTGGGATATTCACGTTTTTTTCAGACGCCGCGCTCTCGACGCTCAGGAATCATGCTCTCGCTGTGGATTTCCACACGGCTTATTGGAGAATCGCGCTATCGCTCGAGACGTCCTCGCGATTCATGCAGGACTCACGCTTCAGCAACCCGCCTGCTCGACCTGGCCGCCTGGGCCCGCCTTCCCGACCCGCCCGTCTTACCACGTGCTTTCTGCTCCTAGCCTCCCTTATGCTACTCTTTCTTTCGTTCTCCATCCTCCTCCCTCCCGCTTGTCCCTTCCTTCCATCCTTCCTCTCTTCCCCTGCCGCAGGGGCTGCACGAATTATACGTTGCAGGTGGGGAAGATCTGCCCCCCCAAGGGGGTACGATCGAAGACGAAGAGGGCGGGTGGGCGGGTATCGATGATTTGGGATTTACGTGTTGAAGGGCACGCGCGCAGACAATAGCGAACAGCGGTAAATTATCGTTATTGATGTTGTTGTTGTTGTTGTTGTTGTTGTTGTTGTTGTATTTGTTACTATGGATGCTTTGTTTGTTGTTGCTGCTGATGCTGTTGTTATGGTTGTTGTTGTTGTTGTTGTTGTTGTTGTTGTTGTTGTTGTTGTTGTTGTCTTTGTTGTTGTTGCTGTTGTTTATGTGTTTGTGTTGGCTGTTGCTGTTGTTGTCGGTAGCAATTATATTTTGTCAATAGTGCTTCTCCTGCGGATTGCACCAGGTTTTTTTTCAAGGGAAAGCGGGGTGCCACCAAACTGGGTGCTTGGCCCCCGGTGTACAAAAACAACAACAACAACAACGGCTCCCGCCTGATACGTCCTCACAAGGTACTCCCAAATCGAGTTGGGACTTCCTTGCAATGTATTCAGACGCCGAGCCCTCGACAATCAGGAATTACGTTCTCGCTGTGGATTTCTTCACGGTTTATTTGGGAATGGTGCTGTCGCTCGAGATTTCCTCGGGATTTATGCAGGACGCACGCTTCAGCAACCCGCCTGCTCGACCTGGCCGCCTGGGCCCGCCTTCCCGAACCGCCTGTTAGGGTCTACCCGCCCGATCCGCCCGTCTGGTTTGCCACGTGTTTTCTGCTCCCAGCCCCTCCTGCTATTCTCTCTCGTGCTCCATCCTCCCCCCTGCCCCTTCCTACCATCCGTCCTCTTTTCCCCTGCCTTAGGGGCTGTACGAAATGCACGTTGCAGTTAAGAAAGATATACCCCCAAGGGGGTACGGTCGAAGACGAAGAGGGCGGGTATCGAGGGTTTGGGATATACGTGTTGAATGGCACGCGAGCAGATAAGAAATAACAGTCTTAACATGATTTTTGCTCTTGCTGCTGCTGCTGTTGTTGTAGTTGTTGAACCCTCACTTCTGAAGAATAATTGTTGTTGATCCCCCCCGTCCGGTGCACATCGTTGTTTGATTGAAGTGCCCTTCCCGGGGCTCGCACCCTGTTTTTTAGCAGGGAAGGTCTTGAGGGTCAAACTGCGTTGTTGGCCCCTGGTTTACAACAGCAGCGGCTCCCGCCTGATACTTCCTCACAATTTATTGAATCGCGCTCTCGCTTGGGACCTCCTTGCAATTTACCACCGGATCGCGGCTCCCGCTTGGGTTTTTCCTCACATTTTATTCCTTCCTCCGCTCGCATCCCGCATTTCTCCCGAATTACTCCCAGTCCTTCCTCCAGATTCCTCCGTGCGCTCCCCACTCCTCCGCACTCCTCCCGGTTCCTCTTCTCCACTCCTTGCCGCTCCTCTTCCCGAGACTTTACTCTTGTCCACTCCATCCCAATCCACTCCACATCCAAATCCCCGCGCTCCTGTCGACACGGTTACAGTTCTCACTATCCTTCCGCCCCACTCTCCCAACATCCCGCTTCTTTTCAGGGTTCCACGAAATTTGTTTCTGACACCAGCTCGCAGCTGTACGTCCCCCCGTGTGGGTCTCCACGATATGTTTTTTCAAAGGGGTGGTGCGTGCCGCTGTTTATGGCGCGACCCATGGCGAAACGCATTGTTAACCTGTGTTGGAGTGGTTGGCGCAAGCCATGGCGCAAGCCATGGCGCAAGTTAAAGCGCCACTCGCAGCGCAAATCATCGTCCTCCCTCCTTCTTGCCC